TAGGAATGTTTGATTGGTAGAGTAGGTTTGTCATACAGAGGACAATTGTGACTAACATGACCCAATCCAAGTGCAAATGAATAAACTGCTTTTTCTGAATGCTCATAAGCTCATGTGTGGAAACAGAACTATGTTATTGCATGTACTATCAAACCGTAGTGAAGATTCTTACATTTCAGGTAGCACGTATTGATTACTGGACCTCAACATGCACTGTCTGATAAAATATACATAAAAAATTGGAATTGATTTTCATTGCCTTCATCTGGTGTTGGCAGGATGGTAAAAGCCTATAAATGGACTTGGTAACTTTAGCTTTGTGTTAATGCAGCTGGTTCATAGAGTTTTGTGTTACTGTATTATATTTCAGGTTCAATATAAAAACAAGTTTATTCTTGTTGGCTCTATTTGGAAAATGTCACCCCAGGTGTTCAAAATATTTGCATATTCCAGGCAATAGACTCCTTTTTAATATGTAAATTATTGCATAATTGGGATGGCTGACTGACATTTTTTGCCAGAGCTGGTGGGAGCCAGCTGCACCAGGCAAACTCCAACCACTTCCACATGAAAACTGAAAAAACATGCATCAAATTATTCTTGTGTGCCCGAGAAGAGTTGCTCCTGTCCTGACAGTCTCATCCTCCACAGTTCAGCATTCCCTTCACTGCTATAATTTACCAGGCTAGTGGCTGCATCAACCTGAACTTGAGTCTTTAATTTGGTGGGCTGAATCAGGATATTTATATGGAACTTCTAAGCTCATCTATCAAATAGTATTGAGGCAGGGGTTCATAATTATGTGGGCTTCCACTGATTGGTGCTCAAAAGGCAAAATTAATACTATTCCCTCTGCATGTTAGGTCTATAGTTTCATCTGGTCACTTTTCTAAAACCATACACTGCTGGTAATATGCAAAAACAGTCTTAGTTTGTATTTTATATCATAATTTTTACAGCAGGTTTTCAATCACAATTATAAAATTTATCTCAGGATAATGAGCAGTGAAATTCATTACTTTCCTTCTTAGAATTTAATTGTGCACACTGCTTAAAATATTTAAAAACAGAACTGCAAAGAGTCTGCTGTATTTTTTGTGGTTATTTTAAGATTGCTTATTAGGTATGTCCATTCGTTTGCACAAATAACTGCATACATTGTAAGTCAAACAGAGAAGTTCCTCTTGTGATTGCTTACTGCAGGGTACACTTGAATAGAACTTTCAAATCAGGTTTCAATTAGCATGTACTTTTCTCTTTTACAATGAAAATTGAGATATTTTACTTTAGGCCAAATATACAAATTAGGAAAACTTTCTCTAAGAAACACCTAGTCTGATACGGGTGGTAAATTCAGACACATTGTGTCTGCTGCATTGTCAGAACCTGAAGTATAAATCCGAACCAGTAACAGATGACAATGGCCTGATCCCTGATTACAGAAATAGGACATAAACTTGGACAATTAGAATTAGTTTTATAACAATTTTTAACACTTTTAATAGTCTTCTTTCCTCCATTGTTCTCCTAGGATGAGAGGCTTTCTTTATTGTTGCCATCAATTTGACCCTATGTTAAAATATGACATCTAGAAAGTTACACTTTCCTGTTTTAAAGTACGTCTTCTGGGAACTGCCACAACACAGAAACATGGTACTCTCAGGATCAGAGAGTTTGAGTGCCAATTAGAAGTGGGATAGTGACTCCAAGTGAACATGCAAAACTTCACCAAGCCATCTGAATTTTACAATGAATTAACTTAGAATAAATGGCTTGTTGTTTCTTCAAAATTTCAGAACCAAACATCCCACCTTCATTGTGGCTTCCTCATGAAATTAATTTGATTCTTCGAACATTTTCAATGCTCTTAGAGCTAAGAGCTTTCTTCAGCTTCTTTATCAGCTTGAACTTCCAGGCATGAAAATAAATCAAGCAGATCATTAGCATTTATTCTAACTTTCAACAGCCTGATTGGTCTACACCTTAGTTTTACAATTGGCCTATTTTTTTTCTGGAGTCGAGTCTTGTCTACACAGAGCTAAATTCATATCTTTACAAAGAAGTAGAACATTAGACACTAAATACCCAGTTCACTAAGCCTGAACAAACTATGTCCGTAAGAATATCTTTGATTCTCAATGTTGATGAATGAAATAAAACCTGCTGAGAAAGGAGGAGAAGCTGGGTAGCTTGTGTTGAAGAACTGAAACACAGAGACACCTTTTTAAATTGTAGGACTGTGACAAATGTGATTTCTTATCCCTCTTGGGAATCAGGTTTGAATTGGAAAGCAGCTCTGTTAGGATCCTGAAGTTACCATTGCTGCTTCTCAGCAAACGTCTGAAGAGTACTTTGGTAAGGATTTGCCCTCTCAGGTGACTGATGAAAGCATCTGAAGTTTAAGAAAAACCTCACAATGGCAGTTGCGAATATTTCTAAAACTGACTTTCCCATACGGTATAAGAAGAAAAGTTAATTTTGTGTTTGGAGAGTATATGCATGAAAATATAACTTTTTTTTCATACATTTACTCTACTGAACTACAAGTGGTATTGGAAATGAGAAACTAGTTTCTCTGATAGACTAGCTGATGTTGGCAAATAAAACTTAGGAAGCAAAATTATACTAAGTAGACTTTAGAAATTACCATTTAGTGACAGAGCAGCATGCACGTTTTATATTGACTCTAAGATGTGAATAGATTAGGAAGGAAATGCTATAGAATCATAATGATCACAGTGAGAAGATAATCTGAGATAATGATTTTGTAAACTTGAAACAATTTGCTAGAATTTATATATTCTAAAGCATCTGATTTGATGGCTGAAGCATTGCATCTTTCCATTAATTAATATTACATGAATAATGATCTGGTGTTGAGAAACATAGAATATGGATTTCATGGTAGTTGGACCACAACACACAACAGATTGGTGCCTTTTATAAAATGGTGAGTATGAGGTTGAGTTCTTCTGAGGTGTCATTTTTGTTTGGGCAAAAAAACACAATATTGACATGCAGAACCTGAGAGAACCAATCTTCATTGTAGATTCATAGAGTCCCTGAAGACACAACAGGACAGAAGGTATCGAGTTGGTTGTCAAATCCATTGATGATTCAGAGCACCAAAATAAATTTTCTCTATTTCACATTGTCAAAAGAAAGATTTAGTGTTGTGACTTGAAGAAGACAATATGTGCTGATGATTGCATCTGAGATATTAAGCAATTTGGTACAGGTAATTTAAGATCAGTTTCCATTATTTGAAGAAAAGTTCTAACTCCAGGAGGCTTCCATCTGCGGGCACTATAATTTTAAGATCCAACAGTAATGCTGTTCTGGTAATAGTACCCCAAATGAGAAATCTCTTACTCGCTTCATAGATGTCAGTCTTAGGGTGAGTGGTAACATGTGGCACGCTTGCCTTGAGTCAGAAGCAAAAGGTTCAAAGCCAGTCCAGGGGTGTGCACATATAATATTGGCTAACGTTGCAGTGCAATAACCGATGGAGTATTTCTGATGAGATGTTAAATTGAGGCACCATTGGCCTCCTCAGGTGTAAAAGACCACATGGCCTGATTTGAAGAATAGACAACTGAATAAGAGGACGGATGTCTTTATTGATATTTTAACTCAGAACAGATCTTTAATTTAGGAATATTTTCTTGTGAAGCAGGTGTTAATATTGGCACTGACATGGAAGTAGAAGCAGTTATTCAGGTCAAAAGGTCCTGGCATCAGAAGAAAGGTCTATGGTGAGTTGAAGTCTTCAGAGTAGAATGTGATAACATGACCTGTAAGTCTTGCCATGAGGACTGCTGGACAGTAAAATACTTCCCAAATATACTCACAATGAATGTAAAACAGCTTGAACTCCTCCTCTTTTGGAGGACCACCAAAATACCATATGTTTTCATGCCAATCTCAGTTTAACTGACCATCATCCAGAATTATCAAACAAGGAGGACTGAGATTTGCTGATCGATGCATTGACTTCTAGAGTCTGGTTCATCTGATACTGTAGGGCTCATATTTTCTTTAGTTTCCAAATTATTCTCTTGTCTTGAATTTGTTTAGAATTCAAAACCTTATCCTGAAAGAAAATAGTGTTGGAAGGTTGAGATGTTGCAGTGAAATTCAAAAGTGGGAATGAAGTAGATGTGCAAGAACAAGCGTTTAGCTGACAAGTCAAACCGTACATTGCAAGCGTTCCTGTAAAAGCCAACACTAGTGATGCATTTTATTACAATACTATTAATATTTTCCATATTACAGGTATCTTGTCAAGGAAATTGTTAATGGCACCAATGGTAATGAACCTCAATTATTCCCTCTGCTAAACAAAGGTAAAGTTAAAACGCCTCACTATATCTGTGAAAACATATGAAAAATAACAGAAATGTAAGAAAATTGAAGGAAAAATGTCATCCCATCACATTTTACCATTGAATTGTTTGAAAAGGCCAAAGGCATTAAACAATTTTCAAAGAACATGTCCTGAATGCTGTCAGATTAAAGTGTTTATTAATATTGTACGCTGTTTAAAAAAAAATTAAGGGGAGTCAGAGATATGCCATTTAAAAAAAATCTTTCTCCTGTGCTTTTTGTGCCCTGATGTCCTTAATCATTCATCATACAAATGGGAGGCATGGTGATAAGCTCCCACATGTCCTTCATTACTGTTCTAGAGCTGCCAGCTGATGTCTCTACCTCCAGATTCCTTGCCTTTTCCCCACTCTTCCACTGGCAAGAATCTTGCATCCAGTTGGACTCTTGGTGCTGGACCATTTCAGGAATTGTAACTGCATCAGAATTCATGAGACACCAGCATCCATTCTACAATACCATGCCGTTGTATATTGTAGCACCAATGTATCATGCAATGTGTATTATTCTCAGTCTTCCAGTTAATTGTTTACATATGATGTTAACTTGAGAGCCTGTATTATGCAATTTTTGATTGAAAGTGTACTGGCATGAATCTACAATCACACAACTGGGAACATACACTCTCAATAGGATTTTTTTAATCAGTGTCAGTAAAATCAAAAAATTTTGGAATACATCTCAATCAACAGCTTATGAAATTATGAAATGTTGACAGATTCACAAATGTTAATTTCTCCTGCAGTTAAGTGTCCTTATGGTGCGCTTTCAATGTACAGGTATTCAATTGGCATGATAAAGAAAATACTGCAATTTGTACTGCTAACAAAAGATTTTTTTTCTGTTCTGCAAATAAAAAGGCACTGTAAAAGAAAGGGAGTTAAAAGTGGAGGGAAGCACATGTGGAAGGGTTGACATGGTACCACAAGACTGTATACTGCAAAAATCTATATGTCACCACAAACCACATGTCTCTACTTCGGTTACCTAAATAACAGCTTTTCAGAATTTTATATTGCACAACTACATTTTCAAATGCTTTAAGAATTTTGGTTTGAGAAATGATCCTCTTCATTTTGTATTCAGACATCTGTAAATAGCAATTCATAATAAGTAACTTGTAATGAAATTTATGATGGTATTCTTGGTGAGATGATGTGGTTCAAGAAAAGGTTTTAACTAAATTCATGGCAAGCTTAACTAACGCTGAACAGCTGAGAATAAAAGGCAACAACGCGAGGCAGCTGGAAGTACAATGCACATGCAACCTGTTTAAAGACATTAAACAAAAGTCTTGGCAAATGTTTTACACTTGTCTTTCAATACAATAACAAAATTTTAAAAATAATTGTGGTTTCTAAAGTTTTCTAACACTTCTCTATGTCATAAATTACTTGGCAATTTGATGGATTTTGGCACGCGACAACAGTTTGTAATCCTCAAGGGGTTTGTTGTTATGAACAAGGACAAGTGAAGAGCAATGGCTCACTTGATATTTGGGCAAATATTTCTTTCTTAATCTTTGCTTTAGTTTTAAATTGACATTCCAGAAATTTTATCAATCTGCAGCTGTCGTACCACAGAGGAGATTCTTTTCTCATTATTGTAAGTGCATAATGAGAACAATACCACAAATACTAGATCAGAATTTAAGCTTCAAATAAAAATTCAATAAGCATGATTTCTCGAAGTTTTAAAATTAGCAGCATGACTTAGTGAAACATTTTATGTTTAATTATAATACAGATTAGTTTAGGTTCATCAAAGACGATGTGCATATACTCTCATGGCAATAAAGTCAGTTTAATGCTCAGAGATAGGAGAAACAAGTTGCCTACATCCACATGCATGCCATGTGAGTTGCATGGGGCCCACTGGTGTTGCTTCTGAGGGTATGAAATATTTGCATCTGCTAAACTCACAAATTTCAATTTTACCTAATACATTTTAGCACAAATAATTGTAAATTATTCTACAGTTTGGGCTTTTTTATGGTTAAGTTGTAACTAGCAGGTCTTATTAAGAAAACAGACGAAGAAAAATGAATAAAATATTGATTATTTACATTGGTTACCTTGGCAAGTACTTTGGTAGTGTAAATATGAAATTTAAAAGATGGAATAAGTAAAACTACACTACTAATGACAATAAAGATGAACAATGTGACATTTAAAAATGCAATGAAAGCAGCCAATTGCTCCCTTTGCTTAATGTTATTGCCCAAACTATATCATCATCTTCCAAATGTACACTCTTTATACATAAACCTTTAATTTTTTAAAAAGAATTTTTAGGCAAAAATATCCTTGCCGAGTTTTTTCTAAACCTAAGATCTCAATATTACAATCAGAAAATCTATCATAGAAGTCCAAAATGGCAATCATTTTCCATTTCTATTCCCCATAATATCTTCTTTCCTTCACTTCCAGAAACATGTTTAGCTGACAAACAAACAGAATCCAACTTTTTTTTCCCCTATTTTTATAGCACATTTCCACAGCAGTCCTGCATTTCAGAAGCTGCGTTTGCTCCTCAAGGTCTGATTACCAATAGAAATTCTTGGCAGGTCCTCTGATGCTGTGGTCAGTTTGAGAAAAGATGGCTGGTAGCAGCTATAGAATGGTGCAAGGTTTTTTATCCTTGAAGGGGTTTTCAGAGGCTGGGACTCCAACAAGCAATGGGTCATTCCTTGCATGCTGTTCACAGTAGTTCATCAAATCTACAGCTGCCTTTGATACCTGTCAAGGTTGAAGAGTCATCAGTGACATTGACTATCCATGGCAATGATGTAACAGAGGACAGAAAAACATGGATTTTTTTTGCACATTCTGCAGCTTTAACCTTGAACTTACAGCAGTAAAAGCATAAACATGGTATGTTTTGAAACAACAAAATTATTACGTTCTTCAAAAAATACTCTCTCTCTAAATTATATGTCTAGTTCACTCCTTCATTAGTCCCCTTAGGTTGAAAGTGAGAACAAAATCCTCAAACAGACTTGAATTATTGATGTGCATTAGTTGGCTACTTTACTGAAAAGTGTTTATATTTCAATGCTGCAACAGCAATACACATTTGATAAGTAAGATAAGATCAACCTATACGTTTTTATCTAACCCTTCTGATACTGATTAAGCCTCACAATGACTTTGTAGAGTATCATAGAATGAACATTTTAGAAAATATATAGAAAACAAGAATGTGCAATTTGTCTCTTTGGCCTAGGAAGGATGCTGAGCAATGTTAATCAAATTCTTATGTTGGTCCATCTAAATGTCTGTTAAAATAACAGAAAAAGAAATTTGTAGAAGTATGTGAACATCTGTATGATAACATCATTCAATTATTTTGCATGATTAAACATAAGAGCTTAGTCCAAATCTCACAGCTGCCTTCGAGGTAGGTGGAGTTGCATTATAAATTTATTTTCCCAAGAAATAATCCTACTAGCCTGAAAAGCAACTCTTTGTTACTACTGAGATAACAAGGTGTACAGCTGGATGAGCACAGGAGGCCAAGCAGCATCAGAGGAACAGGAAAGCTGACATTTCGGGTCTGGACCCTTCTTCTTTGTTACTGCTCACTGCTTTCTGCCTTTCGCCACTTTTGCACTTACACTGACACTGTTTTCTTTAATCCCATTGGCTTTCATGTTACTAAAAATCAGTGTTATATGTTCAGAGGGAGACAGGTTAGAATGTGTGAGGGAAGCAAAGAAATTAAGGCAGACACTGAGGGTGCTGCAGAAATTTCCATTTTCTGCTGTATTTTGCTTTAATTCAAAAAAAATTAAGGCGCCTGATGTCACGTCAACATTTCATGATAAAGAGATCAAGTGGAGTTCAGATCGCAGAAGCAGGGGTCAAATGCAAGGAGTGTATTGGAAACAGGTGAAACTATCAGCAAATGCTGGCCTGGTGAGCAATGCCCACATGCCTTAAATGAGTTAAAAAAATTAACACATACTGTGGTCAAAGGAGAACCAGTGGATGTACCATGCTCAGATTTCCAGAAGGCATGTATTAAAGGTTATCATAGAAAATATAATCTCATGGATAGGTAGCATATTGGAAGACTGGGTAGAAAATTGACTGGCTAACAAGACGATAGTAGGTAGAAGTGTTTTCTTTCTGTTGGCAAGATGCAATGAGTGATGTGCTACAGGGATCAGTCCTGGGATCTCAACTGTTTGCAACTTATATAAACGACTTGGATGATGGGATGCAAGGCATAGTTACCAAATTTACTGACGTCACAAATAGGTAGGAAAGTATCTTGTGAAAAGGATGTAAAGAGGTTACAAAAAGATAAAAGATCTGGCAAATGGAGTATAATGTGACACAATGTGAATCTGTTCCTTTTGTTGGAAGAACTAAAAAGATGCATTTTATCTAATTGGTGAGGATTGCAGGGCTCTGTGATGCAGAGAGACCTGGGTGTACTAGTGCATGAATTGCAAAAGACTAATCTACAAGTACAGCAAGTAATTTGGAAAGCTGATCGAATGTAATTATTTATCGTGAGGGTAATTGAATACAGAAGTAGAGAGGTTATGCTTCAGCTATATAGGGCATTGGTGAGAGCATATCTGGATTACTATGTACAGTATTAGTCACCTTATTTAAGGAAAGATGTAAGTGTACTGGAAGCAGTTCAGAGAAGGTTTACTAAGCTAATAGCTGGAATGGGTGGATTGTCTTAAGAGGAAAGAGTGGACATGCTAGGCTTGTATCTGCTGGAGCTTAGAAGAGTAAGAGGTTACTTGATTGAAACATATATAATGCTGAGGGGTCTTAACAGAGTAAATGTGGAGAGGATATTACCTTTTATGGGAGAATCTAGATTAGGGATCAGTGTATAAGAATAAAGTGTTGTCTATTTAAAACAGATAAGCCAATTCTTTTCTCACAGGGTGGTCAATGGCTAAGGTCACAACTAGAACCAGAATCCCCACAGAGCAGGAAGGTCATTTAGTGCATCGAGTCTGCACTAACCCACCGAAGAGCATGCCATCCACACCCCATCACTCCAACCCTATTCCCATAACCCCACATTCACTATGGCCTATCAACCTAACCTGTGCATCTTTGGATTGTGGGAGTAAATAGGAGCAGCCAGTGGAAACCGCCCATGCAGATACAGGAAAAATGTGCAAATTTCACACAGTCACCTAAGCCTAGAATTGAACCCGATGATGTGAGGCAGCAGTGCTAACAACTGAGCCACCTTGCCACCCCAAGTGTGATGAATAGTTTCTACTTGTTCCAGCAACACTCAAAAAGCTTGACACCATCCAAGACAACATAGTCCTATTGAATAACACTCCATCTAACAAGTTCACCATTCACTCCCTGCACCAACAATTCACAGTGGCAACATTGTGCACTATCTACAGGATGCACTTGAGCAACTCACCAAGAGAGCAAATTTCTAAATCCATGATCTATATTACCCAGAAGCCTGGGCAGCAGATGCATGGGAAACCTACCAACTTGAAGTTCCCCTCCAAGCTACAAACTGTCCTAACTTGGAAATACCACCATTCCTTCACTGTTGTCAGTTCAAAATCGTAGAGCGCCTTGCCAGCCAACAGTACTGTAGGTGTACCTACACTTACATGGGGTGCAGTAGTTTAAGAAAGCAGCTCACCTCACGTTCTAAGAGGTAATTACGGATGGGAAGCAAATGCTGTCCTTGCTACCAACTCTCACTTCCCAAGAACACAATTTTAAAATTAAAAGTCATCAGCATTTTGAAAATAAAAATAATCATGTTGATATATTCTAGTATAGTGGCAAGCACTGGGGGAGTGCTGCAATGCCACTGTTGCTGCCTTTTTAATGACATGCTAAATCAAGACCTCATCTGCCTGCTTGGGTGGATGTACAGTAACCCACAGCATTTTTTTGAAGATCCTTGTCCTGGTCAATATTTACTTCTCAACCAACATCACAAAAACAAATTCTAATATGGTCTTTATCACAACACTGTTGGTGGGGGTTTACTCCATGCTGACTGACTGATGTGTTTAGTATATTACAACAGTGACTACTTCAAATGTACTTATCTGGATATAAAGTACTTTGAGATGTTTAGTGATTGTGAAATTATTGTGAAAAGTAAATGATTTTCTTTTCTCTAGCATATGCAATGCAATCTGCAAGGAAACAGACATGTTGTTTTGGAAAAATGTAGATTACTGTAGGAAAGAAAGTATAGCTGTATCTGTTCAGGATAATTAGCAATGAGGAAATTTGGTAAAGATTAGAAAATTGGACTGTTCTGGGGTTGAAAAATATTTGAAGATGTTATTAATCAAATCTAGTCAGCAGATTGGTTGATTATTCATGTGAAGGTACAGAAATCTACAGATGTCGCAACTAGCTGAGACTTAGCTATGTCTTTTTAAGTTCTGTATTTTGAAATTAGTCCATATATATGCCAGAGATTGGATCCCAATGCATGAGCATAGAGTTGAGAAATACCAAGGGGCAAAAACCATTAGTGGGTATCATACATGGGCCCCCAAACTGCAGGGGTGATGTTGGGAATGGCATCAAACAGGAAATTAGAGATGCATGTGATAAGGAAATATTGGTTATCATGGGTGATTTTAACCTGCACATTGGTTGGGCAAATCAAATTAGCCACAATGCTGTAGAGGGAGAATTCCTGGAGTGTATATGGCATGGTTTCCTTGACCAATATGTGGAGGAACCAACTAAAGAGCAGGCCATCTTAGACTGGGTACTGTGTAATGAGAAGGGAATCATTGCCAATCTAGCTGTCCGAGACACCTTGGGGATGAGCGACCATAACATGATATAATTTTTTACCAAGATGGAGAGTGAGGTAGTAGATTTGGAAACTAGGGTGCTGAATCTTAATAAAGGAAACTATGAAGATATGAGCCATGAGTTGGCCTTGGTAAATTGGGGAGAGTTACTCAAAGGGATGACAGTGGATAGGCAATGGCAAACATTCAAGGAACACATAGGGAAACTGCAACAACTGTTTATTCCTGTCTTGCACAAAAGCAAAATGGGTAAGAAGGCCAATCCATTGTTTACAAAGGAAATTAGAGATAGTATCCAATCCAAAGAAGAAGCATAGAGATTGGCCAAGAAAAGTCATATGTCTGAGGATTGGGAGCAGTTTAGAATTCACAAAGAAGGACCAAGGGATTGATTCCAAGGGGAAAATATAGTATGAAAGTAAGGTTGCAGGGAACATAAAGACTGACACTAACAGTTTTGATAGGTAAGCGAAGAGAAAGAGATTGGTGAAGACAAATATAGGTTCCCAACAGACAGAAACGGGGTAATGTATAATAGGGGACAAGGAAATGGCTGAGCAACTGAATACATACTCTGGTTCTGTTTTAACAAAGGAGGACACAAATCAGATACGAGAAGTGTTGGAGAATGCAAGATTTAGTGCGAGGTAAGAATTGAGGCAGATCAATATTAGTAGAGAAATGGTGCTGGGAAAATTGATGGGATTGAAGGCAGATAAATCCCCAGGGTCTGTTAAGGAAATGGCTCTAGAAATAGTGGATACATTGGTGATCATCTTCCAGGATTCTGTAGACTCTGGAACAGTCCCTGCAGATTGTAGGGTAGCTAATATCACTCCAACATTCAAAAAGGGAGGTAGAGAGAAAACAGGGAATTATAAACCTGTAAGCCTAACATCAGTCATGGGGAAAATTCTCGAATCCATTATCAAGGACTTTAGA